TTCCTCCGCCTCCCGCGGCGGCTCCTCGCCCTCCGCTGCGCTCTCCTCCGGCGGCCTCTGGTTGTCCTCGTCCTCGTCCTCCGACCCCTCCTTCCCTTCCTCTTCCGCCTCCTCGGCCTGGGGCTCTTCCGGTTCCTTCTTCCACAAGGGAGTCTTCACACCTGCGAGCCAGAAGGTCAGGGCAGTCCTGCTGTCCCCGAGAAAGGGTCCAGAATAATTTTTCATTTTATTTAATTTTTAATTTTATTTTTTTGAGACAGGGTCTCTCTCTGTCGCTCAGGCTGGAGTGCAGTGGCGTGATCTCTGCTCACTGCAACCTCCGCCTCACTGGCTCAAGCGATTATTCTGCCTCAGCCTCCCAAGTAGCTGGGACTACAGGCACGCCCCACTGCGCCTGGCTAATTTTTGTATTTTTAGTAGAAACGGCATTTCACCATGTTGGCCGGACTGGTCTCAAACTCCTGACCTCAGGTGATTTGCCCTCCTCAGCCTCCCAAAGTGCTGAGATTACAGGTGTGAGCCACTGTGCCCGGCCCTGGATACTTTTTCAAAAAAATTTTGTAAGTCCAGGCATGGTGGCTCACGCCTGTAATCTCAGCACTTTGGGAGATCGAGGCAGGCGGATGGCTTGAACTCAAGAGTTCGAGACCAGTGTGGGCAACAAGGTGAGACTCTTTTTATTTCGCTACAAAAAACAAAACAAAACAAACAAACAAAAAACGGCATGGTGGTGTACACCTGTGGTCCCAGCTACTTGGGAGGCTGAGGTGAGAGGAAGCTGAGTTAGGGAAGTCGAGGCTATAGTGAGCCATGATCGCACCACTGCACTCCAGCCTAGGTAAGAGTGAGACCCCTTCTCTACAATTAAAAAAAAAATTTTTTTTTTTGAGACAGGGTCTCACTATGTTGCCCAGTCTGGCCTCGAACTCCTGGCTTCAAGCAGCTCCCCTGCCTAGGTCGCCTAAAGTGTGGGATCACAGCCACAAGCCACCTCCCCTGGCTTACTGATCCCTTTTTTTTTTTTTTT